ATTGATACTTTAATTAGTTTAATTTTCAATCATAAACTTAGCGATAAAAAAGAAACATTGATAAAATATAGATTAAAAAATTAAGTTATTATATAATTGAGTTCTAATCATTCACATCATAATCCAAAGAAGTTTTACTCATAGACTTGTTCGTTAATCATCAAATAAATTATAGCCGATGTTTCGTGCTCGTTTTAATTTGTATGTCTAAGTACGTTATTTATACACTTTTATAGAGAAAAATCAGACTATTGGATTGCTTTATTTTTACAATTGATGATGAGAGAGATTTCAAAAAACGTTTAACTTATTTAGAATCGATATTAGGTGATTTTTGAAAAAAATAAATTCGTAGAATTGTTACGGTCTAATCAGAATGTGTTCAAAACTTATTATTCGTTATTTACATACCACCACATGGATCCTCTGCCTCTGTTTTTATTTCTATTATTTTCAGCATATGTAGTAGAAACTATAACTAAAACTACTCCAACAATGATGCACAAGTTCATGTTTGCTACTTGTATTTATTTTTTTTAATAATCCAAGTATTGTTCAAATTAGTTTTTCACTAAGTACTAATTATTTCACTCTGTCAAGTTCCACTACGATTTATAAGTTAAAACACAACAACTAGAAAATTAATACAAAACATTTTAAATTCAATTAAAATTATTATTCAATTAAATGGCTTTTTTAATACATTCACTACAAAAATACTTTAAATGTTAAGTATGTAATTATACTTTCGAGCACCTAATCACTAAAATAGACAAATCTTTGAGATAAATAATGTCATGATGCAGTTTTCAACTTTTCAAAACTCAAGTTTTAACAGATACTTTTGGGGTCCGATACTTTTGTACGACTACTGGTTCTTTCAAATATACCGAGACTTGATCTTGGAGCTAGCTCATCCCTTCTCTTCAGGTAATATAGTAGTATTCAGAAAAAGTGTCGAAATCTCCCTTTGAATTTTTGAGGCTCAGTGCAAGCCGGGTAATTTCTCTATAATAATGTATAGCAAAGGCAGAAAAAACATCTTCACCTGTGAAATTTCAATTTAAATACTGAAGACTTCATCAATGTTAAACAGATAAATATTTGTGTATGAAATTATGAGAGTTATCAAGCTTATTAATTTATTTTACATAAAATAGAAATCAATCTAAATGAAACTTATCAAATAGCACTTTGTCAATTGTTTCAAAAGATGATTCATTTAATTTTGATAATAAGTATAACTGTATGACAGTCAACTATTAGCTTTAGCTAGCGACTGCTTGCCACTACGGAAGAGACAAACTCCAGTGAGTCCCATCCCTCCACTAGTGCAACAGCGAAGATGACTCCTCCAACGATTAGCTCTTGCTCCGCCTCTTCTGGACGGCCTATCTTTTAGCCCTCCTTGTTTTCATGTTGTAAGAAAATTTTAATCTGCATCATTTTATCCTTATTTCTTCAATTCTTCTGAAATTTTTATGAGCTCATACGAATACTTCACTATTTTTCAAAACATTGTGATTTTAATCAAAGTACGTGACAAATAATTACAGGTTATGATTTAACACAGATAACTGAGACATTTTTAAGTGTACAATAAGAAGTAGTTACAATGCATTAAGATAAAAATTCCTCTCTCGGCGTGTGTGTTTTCTTAATGCACTTGAATACAGGGTTACGTTTGTATTCTCCATAAAATTTCATTCTCAATGAGGATTTTATAGATAAATACAATGATTTTGAATAGATAAAAATTAGTTTTCGAAAAAGATCATCATTTGACGGTCGTTTTGATTTTCATTTACATTTTATAATTTCAGATCATTGATAGATTTTATAGAAAATCAATCAAGAAATCATGTGCTACCTGAAGAAAATAATGGGCGGATCAAGATTAAGATACGCCTCTTATGGGACGCTCTTCTCAAAAGAATTTAAAGTTCTTCGAAGATATTTTTTTGTTCTTACATCCAATTTCTTCCGCATACTCTGAATTGCTTTTGCTGTATCATTCTATTCATTATCGTTCTGAATCATTTAACCACTAAGCATTTCGCACAGAAAGCGCTTATTTTTTGTGATTTCTTAATGGTTTTTGATTGTAGCTTTTTAGAAAAGTTAGGTAACCTAAATTATTAATTAAAAGTACATTCCAGAAAGAATAGATGATGATAATTTTTATCATTTGTGTTAAAAAACGATTTCTTGTCAACGTATTATGGAATAAAATATGATCGTGGCAAATATTTTGTATTAAATATTAGGGTTAGATTACAGAATATGAACGATATTCGCTACACAAATCTCTGTCTTCAAATTAAACTGGTACATGCAAGACTTTTTTTCTTGAGTGTAAGTAGAAAAGAAAGATTTTAATATTGTGGTAAATACACTGTTCACACACGGGAATAAAAGTGATCTAAAAATCGCATCAGGTGATACAAAAACTGTAACACTGGTGATGCCAACTCAGGTAATTCTAAAGTTACACCACATAAAGATGAAAAATTTGTATCTAATGTAAATTTGAATGGAACTTAAGTTTTGACGGCTTTTATTTGACGGTATTTAATTATTTAACAGCTTCTCCCGCATGGAAAAATATATATTCGAAAAATATATGCAAATATATATTTTCACATATATTTTTTTTGCGCTAAATATATGTCCGCATATATGTTCACATATATGCGTATATATATGTTCACATATATGCGTGCATATATGTGCGCATATAAGTGTCTAGAGATACACAGAAAAAAATTTAACTTGAATCAAGAAAATAATTTTGAAAAATGTAACTTTCTTGATTTGAGTAAAAAAATTCTCAAACTTGGAAATTTTTTTTTCAGTGTATGCTTACATATATGTCTACATATATGTACCCGAGTCGAAATTTTAAAACCCGAGCTGATCCTTGTAGACACTGATTCCTTTGATCTGGACGTTTGCCGCTTTGATTTAAAAACCAGTCTCAGCCTAACTAGTCTGAAATAAGGGTGAAGTAGAGTGAACTGGAGTTTAATCTGAATATTAAGTCTTTGTTTCAACCTAACTTGCCTGGAGTCAGGGTGGAGCGAAATTTAGTTTGGATTCTTAAACTCCGTTTCAACCTGATACGTCCAAAATCAGGTTGAGCTAGGGTTTGGTGTGATTATTACAGGTTTATAGACCGTCCAGGTTGAGACAGAGTTTAAAACTTAGAAATTTTTATTTTGCTAAGCTTGACAAACAGGCAAAAAAATAAAACAATGAAAAAATTTTTACTCCAACTCTTTTTCATTTATTGGCTGACTTAAATAAATATAATTGTTAACTAAAATATAGAAACAAACATGTTCTAAAGAAGAAACAGGGATAGTGATGTAATCATCTGATTCTTCACATCTGTGAAGGTAAGGAAGAGTACAATTAATGTCACTATCACTATTTACTTGAAAATGATCAACAAGTCTGATTTTTTTGACAATCGCATAGTGTAAGTTATTGCAGATGCAATCATTAATAGGTTCACACTCACAATTAATTATTTAAATAAAACAAAAAATGGACCCATAATGCATGGTACCATCATTGTTTTGATAAGTAACATATGAAGATTCAGTTTTTAGACTTCTTGAATATTCCTTTGAAACGTAGACTTTACTATTTTTCAATAATCGTAAATATTTGCGAATGCGTCGTGCTGGTAATAAAAATCTTATTGCTTCTTGCACAAAATCAGGCAAATCAGTATGAATAATCGTTTCATAAGCTCCGACACTATAACAATTATTCAATATTCGTTCGTTTATTTTTAATTTTTTCTTTTGACCAAAACAAAAGTCACGAACATCACCATCCGGGAGTTGATTTCTATATTTCTCCATTTTGAGTAACTGAAAATGAGCAGTAACGATCTGTGAATCGATATGGGTTGTTCCATTAATAATTGCCAAAATTCGTCCATTCAAATCTTCATATTGATAGCATTGATATCCCCATAAAGGTCCTAAGTTTTGGACACATTCATGAAGATGCTGTACTAGATGTATATTAATCGAGCAGAATTGCTGTCCGTACAGTTCTTGGAATTGTCTAACGAATTTGTGAAGAAAAATTCGAGCAAGCTCCAGCATGTTTTCAGAGATAGAATCTGCACTTAAAAATGATATGCCGCAAACCAATAATAATAAATGATTAAAAAAATCATTTCTCATTACTTCATGCAATACGGGAACTGAATAATAAAAAAACCATGCTTTCAGTTCCGAAGCTTTCCAGTGAGTAAGCTCTTCTGTCGAACGACCCCCACGGAAAAAGTATATATTCTAGTATATATTCTGGAATATATTGTAGGGAGTAATCAGGTGAAAAGACCAAAGTAATCCGTTTTAACTATTTATTTTCATAATGCAACGTTTCGTTGGTTTTATTCCAACATCTTCAGGCATCTTGAAAAGTCTGTCAAAACATTGTCAACACTCTGATCATTACATAACAGATTCATGTATAAATTCTTTTATTTAAATATCAATCTTCCGTGAGAGGAGGTTGTTGTTAGTTGTTTATTAATAATTGTTTACTTATTAATAGTTTCAATAATCTTTCTTAATTGTAAATTTGGATTTCTGCAAGTTATCGATGGTATGACTAAGTTTGGAAGATTGATATTTAAATAAAAGAATTTATACATGAATCTGTTATGTAATGATCAGAGTGTTGACAATGTTTTGACAGACTTTTCAAGATGCCTGAAGATGTTGGAATAAAACCAACGAAACGTTGCATTATGAAAATAAATAGTTAAAACGGATTACTTTGATCTTTTCACCTGATTACTCCCTACAATATTTAATTACAAGACCTGAACAGTTTCAAAATTCTGGAATATATTCTGAAATCTATTCTAGAATATATTCGAGAATATATTCTAAATATATTCCGGATATACCCCGTTTTGCCCAAGGAATATATTTCAAAATTATATATACCTGAATATATTCAGTATATATACGATGGATCAGACTATAGATCTGACGACAGACCAGACTATAGACCAGAGAAAAATTTTGAGTAAAACGGAATACAAGTGAGTGCATGCCCATATATTCCGGAATATATTCCTCGGGCAAAACGGGGTATATTCGGAATATATTCTCGGATATATTCTGGAATATATTTCAGAATATATTCCAGAATATATACTTTTTCTGTGGGGGGAGGCATACGATGAATGAATTTGGGTGGCTTAATAGCCAAAATACGCTCGTTAATTATATCTTTTACGTGATATAAGGAGAAAGGAAAAGCACTGTAAGTACTATCGAACCAAAGTGTCAATAGCTTCTTAACAACTCCACCATCTATGCAATACATTCGGTCGATTGCTGTCCCAACAATAAAATCTGGCATAAACTTCGATAGTGCACACGGCCCTTTTACGCCCATCACACTGGTATACCCGATTCCAATGCTATTCTTCCATATTCTTCAGCTTCTTGAGATGTTCGGAGAGGTAAATCCATGGTGTAAGGATATACATGCGTCATTCCACCAGACTCTAATTAAAAAGATTCACCTGGTACCTTACAGACAGGACAACCAAACTCTCCATTAAACTGAATAATATTTAACATCTGGCATTTAGTGACCATATCACATGTTCCTATCAATAAAATGGCTTTGACATCAATTATTTGATCATCAGGTAGCATAAATTGATGGCCGTTCGCGAGTGTTTCAAACTGTGAACGTAATTTGAAAACAAAACTGTTCATGTTTGGTTTCACTTTTCCAAATGATAACTCAGCTAGTATCATATTTTCCTTCTTCATTCTTTCTTTGTATGGTAACTCGTTGATTGTTAAATAAAGTGGACATATGCTAACACCTGAAGACTTAAACACTGGTACACCGTCTGTATACCACATGAATGACAAATTATTTGGATTAGCCAAAAATTCACCAGTTGTCCATTCTTTGTATAAGTTTCCATCGTAGATATCACTTATTGTATTAGGTTGGAGTTCATTTCTTTGAAAGCGTAATTGTAAATTATTGTAAAAATTAGGCCGTTTTAGAAGCTCCGCCAATTGTTCAATGATCGAAAGTTCGATGAAATACAAAGTTTTATAACCTTTCATTCCTTGACAATCAGCACATGCATCACGAGAAGAAATCAAATTATTCAAACACAGTGAACAATAATAATGTTTTATCACTGTTTGTGCTCGATTATTTTTTAACATAAAAAATTTTTTAAATTTATACAAAATATTACGCCGTAAGTTTTCTCCTATACAATGCATATTAATAATTGTAATAATATCTGATAAGCATGATTGAGAAATATTATGACTAAGAAACACAGTCAAAATCAACAACATACTTTGACTCAAAGTTAATGGAGAGTTTGTATACAGTGGTGGATCGTAGTCATGTTCTACATTACGACGATTATTGTTTATATTATTATCATCTTCATCATCATCCTCATCATCCTCATCATCTTCGTCATCGTTGTCGAAGACTCTTGCTTCTTCCTCTTGTTCTGCACGTTCTTCTTGTTCTAGTGGTTCTTCATGTTCTTCTGGTTCCTCTTCTTCTGCTTGCTCTTCTCTTTCATTTTCATTAATTATCTATGCTTTGCCATACGTTCATTCCATCTTTTTCCGGTTCATGAAGTCTTTCTTCCATATCTTCAACTCTTTCTTCTTCAAATAAATTATCTTGTTCTTCATCATCCATGCGTTCAACAAATTCATTCTGAAAAAATACAATATTCATAAGAAAATATACACAAATGAAAATTATTTTTATGTCCAATATAAATGTGAAGTAAATCTTAATATAAGAACTTAGCAAAATGGGTTTTTTATTTTACTATTTATTATTTCACTCATTGTACTATTGAGATTTTTTATCTAATGATAATAGTTTAGGCATCAAATTTTTAAGTATTTTTTCGAATTCCACAAATCTTACCAAATGTTATAAAACTCTTTTGATAGACTCTTTACAAGCTTCTTCTTAACTAACAATCAAATTTGTAAATGACTAAAAAATCTTTATAGTACAGGTAATTATTTTTTTATATTTTTTATTATTTATTATTATTAATTAATTATTATTATTTTCATTATATTTTTATTATTTTTAATTATTATTTGTACTTAAAGAGAATTGGTTTAGATAGTTGATTAATTTTATTTTCTTTTAAACTGATGCCTTTCGTTTATATTGAGAGATCAAGTTTCACATAAATGTTATTGTAAAAAAAGTTAACGACAATTTTAGTTATCGTAAATGAAAGTTTATTTACATATATATTTTTAGAATTTGTCTACACTCCGAATTTTTTTTTAACTTCACGATAGAGTGAATAGAAAAGACAAAAAAATTTATGAAAATTAATTTAGCAGATATTTTATAATTTTAAGAATTTTTTTAATAAATAAATTAAGTCAAAGAAAATGAGAAAAAAAATTGACATTTAGAAGATTACCGAAATAAAAAATCAAATTTTTTAGAAATAATTTTTTGGAGCAAATTTATTTATTAAAAAAAATTAAAAAATGGTCAAGTGACTGCTGACTTTAATGTCATAAAAAATTTTCGAAAGATAAACAAATAAATTAACAATTGAAAAAGTAGAATTCCGGAATAATTGAGATAAAAATACTTTTATTTTTGTAAGTGTGAATTTTTTTTATTTCAAATTTACTTATATTGTTTAGGATTTTTTTTTTTTATTAAAAAAATAAATGAATGATTGCTAGAATTCCAGTTATCTGATATAGAAATTGCTTTGTTAATAATTGATTTATTAATGTACTAATATAAATATTCTTATCTGCATTAACATTTCTACTCTTGGCGGATTTATATTTAACCTTAAATTTTCCTGCTGACCATTATTGATCATCAACTGTTAATTTCTCTGTTTTTGTTTTGCTGTAAGTTGGTAGAAAGATTTTCGCGGGATTGGGACTCGATTATTCATCGTGAAATGATTTAAGTTTTTGTAAATTTTTAATTTAGTAAATTAATTACTCAACAACACAGTTGTATATTAATTATTAATATAAACAAGATTCTGTTCGGCCATGACAGCATAAGAAAAATTTGCTGTATGCGCCGGCGCAACACTGCATTATCTACCGAAACATCGATAGCCGATAACTCTCGATATTTATTTACCATAAAATATATAGTATTTGTTAGGCAAATATGGCGTCAATTTTTCTGTCAGCAATCGTTGGTGACGCTCATCATCTTACGTTTATATTCAGATTTTATATTTTATTATAAATTATAATATAAATATAAATTATTCATAATTAAATTTATTAAAAATGCCCCCCAAAAAACGTACTGGCGAAAATAATGTGTCTAAAAAATCTTTCACTTTGATATGGTGGGTTGAAGAAGGAAGTAAAGACATAATACCAGCATCCAAGTTACCCCGTAAAAACCGTACAATCGGTTCGATAGTAAAATTGAAGTGGGAAACTTTCCAAACAAAAAAAGTAGAATTACATGATGCAAAAATTATTGCATTTGACAGTAAGTTATGTTCTTTTTAAATTAATTTTTGTTACAAAATTTAGGTGTTGATATTTCTAACCTCTAAAATATCAAATGAATTTTTATGAAATTTGCGTCGGATTTTAAATATTTTCTGTAATTATAATTTTGTGCCATGAAATTTTTTAATTAGAAAATTTATATTTCCTATTTTTTTGTTGAAATTTTTTTTTTGAATTTTTTTTGGATTTTTTTTTTTGGATTTTTTTTTCTCGTAACCAATGCTCATATTAATAATTTGATTTTTTTTACAGCTAATTATGAGAAGTTAAATAATCTATTACTCGATGATAAAGGCAATATTCGTAACTTTAACGATAAATTATTCTCAAAAGAAGTACTAGAGCTTAAAAGAAAAAATACTGAAGATAATAAAAATATAAAAAAATCTAAAGTTCAAAGAATAAATAGTCTTGAAGATGAATTATCAACTACTCCATCTTTGTTTGGAAGTCTTCAGTCAAACATAAAATCATCCAAATTGCCAGTTTCGAAAGTAAGTGCTGGTCCGGTTGTTACAAACGTTAAAGTGATTGGTAATTCTATGATTTTGGATGAGTCTCAATCATTACACAATACCCAAAGCAAAGTGAGCTCTTCTTCGAACAATCGGGAATTTCAGTTGATTGACTATTCTAAAATAAACTATGACGTGTCAACTATAGAACCACTTGATTTTTCAAAAGCCAATGAAACTGTATTTTCAACTTCAACTGCTGATAATAATTCAACAATTGAAAAATCTGGTACACCAGCTACTCCTGAAAAAATAACTGATGAACAATCTCTTCTTGAAGAAACAACTGGTGTACAATCTACACAAGAAAATATAACTGACGCAGCACTAACTTTTTCTGGAGAAACAATTATGAATGATGGAATCGAAGTGAAGAGAATTGAAGATATTGAGGCGCATGATATTAGTATTGGAGCACTGCATACATTTATGCCTAATGATTGTAAATTATTTTTTATAATAATAATTAACTCAAGTTGAATGTAATTTTTTGCACGGATTTTCTTTGATTTTTTTAGTTACTAAAGATAATGTCCGGAGTTTTCTTAAAGTTTACGCTGGACTTAAAGAAGCACATAAGCACCAAAGTAAAAATAATGCCAAGTTATGTGTAACTACTCAGGTAATAATTTATTAATTAAGATGGAAAAAAATGGTTTCTAAATAAGCAATAATACAATTTCAAACCAATATTATTTTATATTGTAATACTACTGCATTAAAAATTTGTCTTTAATATTGTTTCTATGTTAGAGTTTAATAATTATTAATAAAAAATTTAATTCATAGTAGTAAAAGTTAGTATGTAATGATAACATGATAACATGATAACAATGATAACATACTTATCTCTTGAATTCAATGTTTTTATTTGAAATTGCATTATGTAATTTTTTTCAATACAAAAAAATAATCACTATTTTTATAACTAATGACAAAAATACGTTTTACAGATACCAAATGATTTTTCTGCGCCTGGATATAACAAGGTTTTATTAAACATATCTTTATATTAAATTTATCGAAAAAGATATCCTTTTATTTTTTAATTTACTAAAATTGTTTTTAATAATTGTTGAAGTGAATTTAATTTATTATTAATTTACAGGTTCAAATATTGACCGGTTCTGGAGTATTCTTACTTCAAGACAGAATTACTTATATCATTAATAATTCTGTCGACAAAGTAGGAAATAGTTCGCCACCGAAAAAATAACTAGATAAAATTACACGACAGTAATTAATAACATAGCTTGGAAGAAAAGAACAAGAGAAACCGCCGTTGCTCCTGATGAAAGTAAGGATGCTTTTTTAAATGAAATTTTATTAATTTGTAACGGGTATTTTTTTTTTATAGTTTCTGAAGAAAATCTCAAATTTTTCAAAAAAATTGTGATTGCTCTAAAGAAGAATATTACCTGGCAGGGTGATTCTGAATCCCGAGATAAGGTAATATTTGGAAACTTTGTTTTTGATTTCTCGTTTTCATTTTCTTCTTTTTCTAGTCAGTGCATCATCTCCTGGAACCTGGTCTGAGTAAGGTAAGCTTCACTTTATGTTTTATTATACATCTAACAAACGACCTTATGATTAAATTGCATGTTTTCTGAGGGTATGTAAAATTAAACACAATTATTTATTTTATTCAATAATTTGACAGGCTAAAATCTGGGAAAGTTACAACATCTATTTTCCAAAAAACGTGATTTCTTATATCGAAAGAAAATCCTCCATATCTCCGGATATATCAGATTGGAAGGCACTGGTGAAAGAGGCACTACTAGAAATATATCAGTCAGAAATCACTAATTTTTCTGCAAAAGGCACTCGGTTGAACAAAAATGTTGGAATAGACCCACAGGTATTTAGGGCGATTCTGGGTGAGTAACTATTTATTAAAAATTTGTAAAATTCAAAAATACACGGCTCATAATGATTAATGTTTATTTGATCGCTAAAAAAAAAATTCTTTTTTCTTATCATTGGTTCTTTAAAGATTTTTTTTTTTTTATTAACAATTTGTACAACAATATAAACATAGCTGGATATACAATTTTCGTTGAGTTTTTTTCTTATTATTTACAATTAAACGAGACCAAGTTTGAGAGCAATTTAAATTCCTCGTATTTATCATCACCATAATGATCTTTGAAAAACGTAACTCAAAAAATTACATTTTTCTTGAGTTTTCGTATTCGCGAATTAAAGAAATTTTTGTTACTGCTTGGTAAGAAAACTTTTTTTAATAATTTAATATTTTTTTTGTATCTTAATATATCAGGTCAGTGTTCAAAGGTAACAGAATTAATGTCTGTTAAATTCTCTTTCCGATGATGAAGAAATTAATTATGCTCCGTATTAAGAGTCGTGCAATAAAATGTAATTTAATGACAATATTGAATTAACAATTCTATTTTGTACAGGCTGGGCCCAATCGAGAACAAAAGAAACGATTTCGGAGACTGAATTTGTTAATTACATTAATAAATTCATAGGAAATAAAAGACAGTCAACTGGAAAAATAAAACCACAAGGAAATAAGGTAACCATCACTAAACATTCCGAGTCGGACAGCTGTGAACCCAAGACAAATTATAATTTTCCTGAAAAAGAGGATGAGTTTCTTCACGAAAATGATGTAAATTTACACCCATTAGACATGTCAACTTTCAATGTTAATGTTCCGGGTCAGTTTAATGATAATGTCAATTGGAATTTAAATTATTCATCAGCAAGTCGTGAGTATTCAATTAATTTAATAAATGACAATGTCTTCCAACAATCAATGAATATTCTTCATGACGACTATGAGGAGGAAAACCCTTCATACCTCAATCTTTAAAAAAATTAAAAATTCATGATTTCAAGTTTTATTCTTTAAAGTCACCAACAAAAATTATTGATGTTTTGTTTTATTTATGAATGTATTAAATACTAATTTATGTCTTTACGTAACTGACAAATTTTTAAAAATACTTTTTCACTATTTTCATTATTTTTTATATTATTATAACCTGCTTAATCTTATTTTATCTGTATGACTACTTAAAAAGTACTACCTACTGTAATGATTTTATTTGTATTTGTTTCTGACATTTTTAATTTCAAATAATAAATAAACAATCATATTCATATTTACTCGTTTGGTTTAATAAAAAAAAAATAAATAAAAAAATACTTTTGTTGGAAATATTTAATAAAAAAATATTTACATTTATTTATATTTGCATAGATTTCTATTGAATTTGGGAATTGACTTATATTTTTTGTATGAATTTTTTCAATAATACGAAAAAATTATAAATGAAATCGTACATTCAAATAAATACAGGAACAATGAGTGATATGGCAATATTAGTTATTAGTAATATTGTAAAATATGTGATTGTTTTAGTTTTTAATTGAATGTATGGCAACATTTATAATTATTGTATGATATTGAAGAAATTCGTAGAAAAAAATATAGGTCAAAATATTAATAAATGTAGGTCAAGGATAACCAGGGTCTAGAGGGGTTTTAATTTAAAAATTTTTAAACTCCGTTTCAACCTAACTCGTCTGAAAACGGACTTAAGTAGACGTTACCAGAGTGAAACGGGGTTTAGTATCAATGCAGTTCCTCATTCCTTAAAACCTATTTCATTCTGTTTCACCCTGACTCAGACTATCTCAGGTTGAAATGGATTTTAAGCCAAAAAAAATTTCGACTCGGGTATAAGCATGTATCTCTGCATATATGTCAGCATCGATGTGAAAAATATATGTTGACATATTTTTTTTGCGTAAATATATGCGGCATATATATTATATATGCGACATATATTTTTGACATATATATTTCTCCATGCGGGCTATACTTCCGACTCAGTTACAATATACAATAAATACGCGTAGATTAAAATTTTTTGACGAGGGTTTCTACACGGAGAGAATTTTATGTTAACGGTAACCATCCCCACTTTGCACACGGAAAAAAAATCCTATGAAAAATTACATTGGTAACATCGTAATCCAGGACTAGACTTTCAGTATGTTGATTTTTATGATGCTGCCGTCTACAGAATACAATTTGAATTATTGAAAATTACTATGTTATTTAGTAAATTTTTTTTCCGTAGGAGCAAGTGAATAAGGACGCATACTATATGTTTTAATAAAAGAGAGACAGAGTCTAGTAGTTTGCGACGCCACCACCGAAAGATGACCAACTACTGTATGGAGGGTCTTATTATGTGACTGAACAGAAAGTATAGATATTCCTTCTGATGGCGTAAGGGGGTAAGCCTTGGGCCTGTCTGTGTGAGAATACCGGGTTCGATTCCTCGGTGACACGGAATTATTTTTTCGGTGAACTAAACTTCTTTTTCATTTGAGTGATAGAAATTTACGATGTTGCATCGTATAAATTATAATGTTTGAGTTCTAGTCCGGCACTACAATGTTCTATACTAAAAATTACTATGTTTCCATTGTAATTTTTCGTACAATTTTCTTTCCGTGCAGCTTCTACTATCCAGTATAGTTACTAACTTTTCCAAAGTTATGATGATAAATACAACTATCTGGCGATGATAATTAGCACAATCATTGGATATTAATTCCTACAATTATGATTATACGTTTTATTATGTAGATGGTAACTTTTATCATCGGAGATAGTTAAAATCATCATGATTGCAATCATATAAAAATTACACAGGAAGTATAAAAAATTAAACTTTTTCGGTTTTACAGTCCAAATATAATAACATTCTAATGTTTGACATAAGACTGAGTACTGAAAAAAGTATATCTATATTATTTAGAGAATAACAAAAATTTTGTCTCCAGGATAGTCATATGATAAAATCGGTTTTTTTAGTGAAATTAAGTGTCATTGCAAAGGTAGACTTGAATTTGCGCCTTTTCAAGGTTTCATATTATTTTCATCGATAGTCAATTTATCATGATAAGTATTTAGGCTGCATTTGAAAATGCTCTATCTCTAGATACACAATTAAGAAATGACTTTGTATCTTGTGAACTATTGACATTTTTAAAGATATAAGCTCACCCTGAAATAGGCGACTGCTTGGCCGAGCGGTTTAAGTCTTAAACTGCCGCACAGCAGTCGCTCAGGTGTGGGTTCGAGCCCTGGCAATCCGTTCTCTGGTGCATAATCCATAGAGTTTTAAACTCAGTTACATGAGACTGTCTATCTGGGTCATATCTAACTCATCCTGAAACTTATATATCTTATCCGCATCCGATCCCGTCCAAGGACCGGATTCACCATCACAAACTGCTTGATGCTTCGCTGTATCATTTCAATGTTTTGAATAGCTTAAACTTGTCTATCTTCTGTTTCGTACATCAAACTATTATATAATATCCATATATTTCGTCTTTATAATATTATTTACTATTTATTACAATATCCATTATTTACATTTTTTTTTCTTAAAATAATCTTATTATTCAGTAATCAATTATCAGTCTTTGATATTTTTCATTCAAGGATTAAAGCAAAATCTCTATTAAAAGTACAAGCTATGAAAATTTTCATGAAATCACAATAGTCAATTCTGTCAAATTTCAAATTGTAAATTCACTCAATTAATAATAGGCGGATATGTCCAATAATTATGATTATTTTAGTATGATGTCGGGAAAATGCAAACCTCAAATTTTCCAGGATACGAACGTGCATTTATGCTTATTGTGTTTATTTATGAAGTAGACTTTCAGTCATCCGGTGGATTATTATTGATAGAATTGTATCAAAAGCAAGAGAAATTTAAACCTTGATTATAAATTGACATTTATGTAACATATTCGTAATATTGCGTAAAAATATTTAATAAAAAAACAAAAAGCTTTCCTCTATAATGACCATACTAAGGGCCAGTTTTTCAATCCGAGATAAAATTTTATCCGGGATAAAAGTACTGCCAATTTTTATATATATATATTTCTTCTGTGCGTGTGTTTGTCACTGAACTCCTGCTAAACGGCTGGACCGATTTTAATGAAATTTTTTGTGTGTCTTCCGGTGGATTCCAGAATGGTTTAGATTGACAACTCAGTCCACGGGAAAATGTTTATTTAATAGATTTTTTATTTATAAATTGTTGTCGACCTTAAGTACCCACATGCACTTATCATATATTTTATAAATATCATATATATAAGATATATGAAAAAATTCATGTGGGTACTCAAACGAAAGGTCTCGATGAGAATAAAATCATAATGGACTAATATTTACGAAAATGTTAATAATTAACGAATGATAATGTATTTTGTTAACTAATGATGTTTTTAACGATATAAACTCATTCCGATGTCAACGGAGGGTCCTGTTACAGGACTATATAGGAGGAGTAGCTACAGAAGGAAATAGCTACATGAGTAGCTTGGAGGGGACCTGGTACTGCGAAGTAATGCTAACGCGGTCCCGCAGTATCAGGTACAAGAGAGGGGAGGGTTTTAGTGAGTAAGAATCTCACACTACCGGCAACCAATATCTCCAACATCTAGCCGGTGTCTTATGAAGATTTCCCTCTTCTCGCCCAAAAAAAAAAAAAAAAAAAGCTCACCCTGAAATTACACTCATCGAGACTTTCATTTGAGTACTCACATCAATTTTTCATATAGTTTTATATATCTACAGACTCGGTAGAAGTCTGGCGCCAAGTACCGTTCAAACGCCAGCCTACCGAGTACTATACCGTAAGCAGGGCCTGATTTCAGGGTTAGAAAATTTTATATATTTATCATAATAATTATATTAAAAGTTATATTTTTTAATAATAGACTACATCTTGATAAACTACTAATCATTTACTTTTTACATACTTTTTAATGGATTCTATTCTTAATTAATAAATTTAAGCAGTACAAACTATAGCAACGTAAATTTTTAGTTATAGAACTTTTTTCGGTGCAAAATCTGACATTCATAGACTATAAAAAATGCTTATGTGCAGTAATTTCATAGGTAGACCGGATACTCCAGTCTAAAATTGAGTTTTAACAGTTTCTATTTCTACACACTAGAGTGCGACGCGAGAAATTTTACATACACTGTAGTAACTGGATAAGTAAACTTTAGGCGCCAAGTTTTTAAATGCCAGACGTAACTATGGGATTATCTGTTTCGGTCATTAAAGGCCAGTTTTTTCTATGCAGGATTAAAATTATTATATTTCGTAAAAAATATATTTATAATAATAATAATTTAAGGATGTGTCCACGTTCATAAGACTTATTTGAATAACATTCCCGCATGGAAAAATATATATGCGAAAAATATATGCAAATATATATTTTCACATATATTTTTTTTGCGCTAAATATATGTCTACATATATGTTCACATACATGCGTAGATATATGTTCACATATATGCGTGCATATATGTTCACATATATGTGCGCATATAAATGTCTAGAGATTCACAGAAAAAAATTTAACTTGAATCAAGAAAATAATTTTGAAAAATGTAACTTTCTTGATTTGAGTAAAAAAATTCTCAAACTTAGAAATTTTTTTTTCAGTGTATGCTTACATATATGTCGACATATATGTCTACATATATGTAAGCATGTATTTCTGCATATATGTCAGCATCTATGTGAAAAATATATGTTGACATATTTTTTTTTGCGTAAATATATGCGACATATATATTATATATGCGACATATATTTTTGACATATATATTTCTTCATGCGGGTTGGCACTTAACAAAAAGATGTGAAATCCGAACAAAAACAGTTTCACTGTAAAAAACCGCGCCAAGTCCACGTTCATAAAACTTCGATAAAAAATAATCGTTTTTACAAAAAAATATGAAATCAA